GGGGACCGCAAGCACTCGTATGGGACTAGGCTCAGCTATATTTATTCTCGAGGGACCACGAAGGCTACTCGGTCACCCGAATGTATAGAACCCGTCACTCGTCTAGAAGGGTGTCTTGAACCTCACTTAGAGTCGATTACGTATTTTAAAATTTATCAGGTGGAGGGGGACCGCAAGGACTCGTATGGGACTAGGCTCAGTTGTATATTTATTCTCGAGGGTCCACGAAGGCTACTCGGTCACCGGAATGTATAGAACCCGCTACTCGTCTAGAAGGTGTCTTGAACCTCACTTAGAGGGCTATTTCCCAGCCTAAACAGATATTCGTCAGGTGAAGAACCAACTTTACAGGCATAGGACTGCCAACAACCTGAGGAGGTTCGAGCCAACTCCCGCAACACTTATAAAGGATACCATTATCCTATTTTTCATCAAATGCATGGATCTTGATGTTATAGGATAGGGCATCTTTCTGTTTTATCTTCGGTGTGTCTTTATCATCAACATCGTACGCCCCAAAACGACTATTTGTGACCTTGTTTGATAGTTTCACGTATAGCAAAAGACTATACACTATACGTGGACACTTATGCATCGGACATAAGCATCGAAAACTGAACCAAGAAGCAAGGAAAAGAAAAGAACAAAAATAGAGTGAGAGAAAGGAGAGACAATCCACCTAACACGATTTCGGAAAGGTGGGTTGTTTCTCAACATAAAAAAAAATCAGAATACATGTCAAAGCAGTTAAACCTCTCACAACGTGGTGCAGGGGTGTGAAGTGATGTAGCATTTGATATAATGTAGGAGGCGGAGTGGGTGAAGTGGTGAAGTGGTGAAGTGGTGAAGTGGTGAAGTGTAGTGGTGAAGCGATGAAGTTAAAATAGTAATGAGAAGTCAAGATATATATGAGAAAGCCAAAGTAAAAAAAAAGAACAAAGAAGCAACATGCCCAGGTAAGTAAAAAAAAAAAAAGGGGGAGAAAACCCAATCGAGAAAAATCGGGCAGCATAACAACACAAAAATGAATTTTTCACACCTGCAATTTACACAACTATGAAAGTACACAAGCATATGAATGACAACATCCAATATTTCCATCAATCTCAAGCATATATGTAACATAGATAAAGAGAAGAGTAAAGAAATTGTGTAAGATGGGAATATGAGCAATGTGAGCCAACTTCTACAAGTGTACAAGCGCAAATTTCATACTCAAGCAGGTATAAACATGATGTAACTTCACAAGTGCAAAAAATATTTGTTTTGGCAAGTATAGATTGATAGACACCTCTTTTGTGCATGAGAAGGGGTGGAGAGTGTGCAAAAAATAAAGCTTAGGTGTTATGCATATGAATGACATATAACATTTTTCATGAGTGTTTCAAGTAGAGTCATTCCCAAATCCGAAAATTCCATATGAAGGCTTTCAAACAAAGCCACACATAAAGCGTTAGCTTGCACATAAGAAAGGCTCCAAAAATCCAAATATGAGACATATAACTTGCACATGAGAAAAGCTTCAAAAAGCCATGTGTAAAACCAACCCTTGGCCTATCAAGATACTTTAAAAGCTAAAAGGAACTCTCATATTTTCACATGTAAGGGAAGACTCCCAATGTCATGAATAAATCCCAATACTTTAACACATGAAAGATATTCCAAATGTCATGAACTTTTTTTTTTAGGAAGAAAAAGAAATCTCGAAAGCTGCATATTTCGCAAAGCTAACCATATCCATCACATGTGAGCATGAGAAAGAGATTAGAGAGCCATATAAATGCTAATGTTGATGTATAAGCAACATTTCAAAAATTGAGCACATGTATTGAAGCTTAAATGTAGAAAGAGAGCTTCAAATTCTAACTTATATATCATGCGAAAGAGAGTTATATGTCAAATTCTAGCATGCGAGGAGTGCTTCAAAATTGAATGAATATTCCAAAGTTTGCCCTCAAATAGGCAAATCAAATTTGTCACTATAGCTTTGCCATAAATATGAAGAAATCAAACAAATCTAGGCCTCTTTTTTTTTTCTTTTCTTTCCTAACTTAAAATAAAGCAAACAGTACATGTGGAGTGATAACAACAACAAAACACAATTCATATGATTCAATCAAACGCTTCTATGACTTTAGCATGATGAAAATCCGGTCATCTTAAATCAAATAAAAGGATGTATCGCATGAAATCCTCAAGAAACAAAACTTATCTTTTCTCTCCCTCCTTTTTTATAAGCCACAGATTTTTTTTCATATAAAATCAAACTGAAGACGCACCATGAGAATTAAAAATGAGAAGAAAAGAGAGGGGAAGAAGTTATCCCTAGAGGCAGAACCAAAAAAAATGCAAGAATAAGCCCCACAAAATTTCAGCAGCACCTCTCCCTTCCTCTGAATGTCTGTCAGCCCTAGGAACTCCCCGAAATGGGGTTTTTATAGCAAAAGAGGGAGGAGGAAGATTACCATCGCCCACCTAGGCGGCGTGCCAAGCCCAGGGGACCGACAATACCACCGT